TTCTACTTGCACTGCATTGTCCATTCAGTCCTTTTTATCACATTGCGGATCCTCGGTTATTATGTACATCGCCCAACTGGGCATGTAACAGTTGGACAACAAAGGAAATGACAACCATCAACAAGAGAGTGGAAAGCTCGGACGCCAGTAGAGCGGTAGTGAGAAATCCATGGCAGAGAGTACAGCTATTGAGGGTGAGGGAGGGGGAGGGCAGAGGAGCGGTCAGATGCTAATGTTCGTTACGTGTTATTTACCTCATTGCCACATATGACACGGTGTTTCTATCTCTGCCTCTCCACAGTGCGATCTCTGTCGTCATTTAATATGAAGGGGGCTTGTCAAACGAGAGAAGGGGAGCAGAGGAGGGGGGGAGGGCAGAAAAGGTGAGCTGGGGAGGAGGATAGATAGACTGTGTGGAAGAGGACAACCCGGAGAACTACCAGGAAGAGCAAGACTACGAGGACTGTGAGGAAAATAGTATAAGCCAAAATAACTGACCAACTTTTCCCCTTCATTGTGAGAGGTAGCTATGCTTGCAGGGGTCCTCTGTATAGGCTTAGGAGTAGTGGTAGGTAGATAGTGAAAGTTGAAAGTGAGAGAGAAAAAATAATAATAACAATACAATTGCCGAAACGAAAAGTAATATGTCTAAGAAAATAACCAATAAGTAGACCTCGGATCGAACCCTGCGGGAAACTACTTCCGAATTACCTGGCCCCAGTCAGCTGGTGATGATACCTCCAGGTCGTCGCCCCTTCATCGAATTTACAAAAGAGGGCAAAAAAAACGGGGCTCGGCATGGGACGCTGGCGCCGGCTGCCAGCATGCTGATTTGGCTCATATTGAATTTGCAAGGGACGTTGGCTCCCAGCCGAGGTCCCATTTGCACGGTTGAGATGGTGCGAGGAATTTGGTCATAAAACTGACCAAGGCTATCCCGCGCGACTGCCGTTCCATCTTCAGCATTTTTAGTATCAGAGGGCCCAGTTGGGATTCCTACCTAGTACCTATCCTATAACTGGCCAATAGACGCCGCGACTTCGGAGACTGCTGGTGAAACGCGGATCTGTGTCTCAATTATGATAGCATGCGCCTTGGCGGGGGGCTGTCAGATGTGCTTTACCCACCGTTCTATATGAGAAACAGCGCGGCGAGCTTGAGAAGGACTTCACTGGTTATCAAAAGAAAAACAAAAAGAGGAGACCTTACTGGTAAACTCTCGCGTAACTAACTTCACACATTGGCTAAACTCTCTATTCAGTCAAGACTTCGCTATTGAGTAACTTGTTTTTTTTTTTTTTTTAATAAAAATTTGGACCATTTCTCGATTTATGCGTGTCATCCTTGCGCAGGGGCCATGGTAATCTTCTCTGTATCGTTCCAATTTTAACGGATGTCCCGAAAGACATTGCATGCATGGATTATAAAATGTTCTCCTAAATAAATAGACAAACGGCTTGCAGACAGTGCATGAATGCGCACCACGTCGCGGCGCGGGAAGAATCGCTTCCGTGTTCACCCGCATAGAAGCCCCGGTCATTATGTAGACTGAAAGTTGCCCCCAAATAATGACCGTGCCTTCTATTCGGGTGAAGACGACAATACTTACCAGTCTTCAAACATTGGCCCGCGCGCCGAGAACCAATCCATGTGCAATCATGCTTCCGCCCTTGCACACCTGCCACGCAATCGCTCCAAACTTGGCCAGCACAAGGATCTGCACCACAAGAAAATGACAAACAGAAATACGAAATAAAGATCAGAGCAGATTATAAACAAGCCAATGCAGTACTGCCATCAAACCGGCACGGCAGTCGGGGCTGCGATAGATAGACAGTATAGCCTCCACTGTAACTGCCAAATCAGATGGCATATGGATATGCTTGCAAAGATTATATTGTTGTCAGCGGCTGACCAACGGAGGGCCTTCGCTCTTCGTAGCGTAGCAGAAAGTCACACCGCCGTGCCAACATTTCTTAGTCCAGCTCCTCCCTTAACGGTACAGCACGCTGCTAATTCAAAAACCCAACCTCACCTCTTTTCTCTCTGCATCTCCTCCGCCTCGGTTCCTAACCCGTCCTCTCTCTCTCTCTCTCTCTCTCTCTCTCTCTCTCTCTCTCTCTCTCTCTCTCTCTCTCTCTCTCGCTCGCTCGCTCGCTCGCTCGCTCGCTCTTTGAGATGAATTGAAATCCGTGACAAGTAACGAGCACATCGGTCGCTGACGCTCATCTCCCCTCCATTCTCCAAACCGCATTCGGTATCAAATACGCTCTCCGCGTCATGGACCGAATCCTGGCGATAGCCGTGTGTTCCATCCAATGTGATGGCAATGTTAAAGCTCAGCCAACGCAGGTGAAAGATTTCAAATCCTGGTATTAAAGACAGGCAGCTGTAGATAGATAGATAGATGCTCTCGTGTCAGAATGCTTCTGCTAAATGGACCACATTAGCAGGAGAACGATCATCATCCTATCCTCGCCGTCAGCATCATCATCAGTAGCCTCACCACCATCCTCATCATCAGTAGCCTCACCACCATCATCATCATCATCATCGTCATCATTAGTAGCCGCTGGGAGATCGTCAATTTCTCATACCTCGATAGTAACGACGGTAATATCTCCATTAACACAGAACGCTTCACACAGAGGCCGGTACTGAGCACGCCGTTCTCCGTCTTTTGGCTATGATCAAGTGCAGTCTCTGTTCTTATCAGCTTAATAAAAAATTAAAAGAGAGACTAACAAAAAAGGGACTCATTAGAAGTGAACCGGCCAGTTCTTCACTGGCGGCTAATCAGAGTCTTCGTTCAATACAAACACACAGAGGAGGTCATCAGCGATCTCAAAGAAGGCTCTCAACAGCTAATCAAGCCTATAGCTTATGTTAGTGGACAATAATCCTGTCTCTCCACCTCTTACCTGACGTACTGATACAGATCCGTCTCCACGCGCATGTCGTAGAAGTGTTCCCCGCAAGACGGCATGCCATTTCGTCTAACGCCTCATCGCACAGATCACTTCCCAAAGATACTTCGCCCGACGCTTCAAAAGCGATCGCATACAGGAACACCAGAAAGACGAATCCCAACCTCTCAATACCCTCCATCTCTCTCTCTCTCTCTCTCTCTCTCTCTCTCTCTCTCTCTCTCTCTCTCTCTCTCTCACACACACACACACAC